AAATCCTCTCTGGGACATCCCCAGACCTTCTGGATGACTCCAGGATCAGTCAGACCCTCATGAGGACTCTCTGGACCGTACCAGACTCGACTGGGACCATCTTCAGATCAGCCCAGGGACTTCTCAGTGCTCCTGGACCCATGGTGGGAGCTCACAGATCTTTCCGGGGGCCCACGGGATCAACCTGGGGACTCCCTGGACACCCAAAACCCACCTGGGACATCTCCAGACTCTTCTGGTTGAGTCCTGAACCCACTGGATGCACCCAAACCTCTCTAGGACTTCTCCTGCAGATCCTTCTGCATGATTCCAATGGGGGATAAGGGGGGTTCAGCGGCGGGTGGGAGGGGGAGAAATGAGCTAGTGAGGCTTCTGTGGGGTGGAAAGTGAGGCTGGGGATGGAGGGAGAGGTGGAAGAGGGAAACTGGAGAGTTGTGTGGAGCTTCTGTGGGGTGGAAAGGGAGTCTGGGGGAGAGAGTGGGGGGAATGAAAAGAGGAGAACAAGGCTGACCACATGAGAGGAAAGAGGGTCTGGGGGTGGAGGGAGGGGTGGGAGGGGAGAACTGGAGGTTGTGGGGGGGGCTTCTCTGAGACATAAAGGGGGTCCAGTTGGGGGAAATTGGGGGCCAACATAGGGGAAATGGACTCCAGAGGGCAGGGAGGAGGGCATGGGGGTACAGGGGACTGTAGAGGTCAGAAATGGGGTCAGGAGCGGGGGGAGAAAGGGAAGACAGGGGACCCTGCGGGGTAAATTGAGGGGACTGGGGGATGGTAGGAGACTCTATGGATCAGAATGGGGGAATTGGAGCAGGGAAACTTGAGGGGACAGGGAATTCTGGGGGTCAGAGTGAAGGGACGGGGGGCAGACAAATCTAGGGGAGAAAACGGGAAGACTCGTGGGGGGGCGAGAATGGGGACACAAGGGATCAGAGTGAGAGACAGACAGACACGGAACCCTGGGAGTCAGAATGGGGAACAGGGACAGACAGTGACGGAGGAACTGAGGGGACGGGTGGAAGAGGACTCCAGCGATGAGAATGGGGGAAGTGGAGGCGGGGAACGGGGGGGGAGAGCGTAATCCCAGTGGTCAGACTGAGGGACTCGGGAGGTTGTGGGCGACCCGCGGCGGCGGGTGGTGGGGGGTGGGGGGAAGGCAGTGAAACCTTGTGTTGGTTGGGTGGAAGGGCGGGGGGCACAGGGCACCTCCCGCCGCCGAGCAGAGGCTCTGAGCAGCAGAGGACCCACGGGGCCAAGACAGGACAGCCCCAGCCCCGGTACCCCGCCGCCCCCGAACACCCACTCGTAGAAGCTGAGGCGGCGCTCGGAGTCCCGGGGCTGCGCCGCGGCGCCGGAGCAGCGCGGGGCCCCGCTCCACTTCCGCGTGGCCGCGTCCTCGGGTCGCGAGGTGATGACGTCACTCCGCGGGGAGCGGGAACGGCGCGTCGCTCGAGCAAAGGACGCGCCGGGGCGCTGCTGCTAGGGAGACGCCGGCGCGCATGCGCTGTCGCCGCGGGGACGGCTTCCCGCGCCGCAAGGAGGGAGGGCGCGCTGTCGCCGTGGCAGCGCAGCCTGCACGCACGGCCTGAAGCCCGAGTGGGGCTCGAGGGGCAGCGGGGGGGCGAAGAAGGGTGGGGGGGGAACGGAGAGCCCTCAGGGGTCTCCTGGGGAGGTGGGGGAGCGACTG